GAAGACAGTCTGAAAACATAAAGTAACATCTTGGCCAACATTTGCTTAAGAAAATATGCCCTTTGGCCAACTAAATCATCTCTTGCCCATGACCCAACAGCCTACCATTTCTTTTGCTCCTAATTTCGATTTATGCAAGGGCATCCTAAGTATGGGAAATGAGGTATGTATGGGAAACGTTCACCTTGCTATTTATCACTTGTATAAACTGATCAATTGTTGTTAATGGATTTACTCATTTTTATTTAGAAACAGTTCACAGAAGAGCTCAAAAATTTAACTGCCTAGAAAATTCAGAGATGTAAGTACAATTTTGTTTCTAAAATGGCATACAACTTTTCCCTATTTTTTTAAGTAGTATTTTTCCTATTCAACAGCCTAGAATGTTTATTGTAAATTTGGAAAATTTAGAAATTTTTAAAAACCACTCAAGATAGCCATTAAAACATACTGATGTATTTCCTTCTAGCCATTTGTCTATGTCCACGCTCTCAAAAGAAAAAAAAAAAGACACCTGCTGTAAAATTTTATATTCTGCATTTTGTCACTTGCTATTATCCTTATACATAATGAAATCTTTCTGGTATGAAATGCCCTTTAGTGCTTTTTTTTTAGAGACATAGTCCTACTCTGTCATCCAGGCTGGAGTGCAGTGGCACAATCTTGGCAGCTCACTGCAGGCTCCACCTCCTGGGTTCAAGTGATTCTCCTGCTTCAGTCTCCAGAGTAGCTGGGATTACAGGTGTCCACCACTACGAGCAACTGATTTTTGTATTTTTAGTAGAGACGGAGTTTCACGAGCTTGGCCAGGCTGGTCTCGAACTCCTGACCTCAAGTGATCTGCCTACCTTGGCCTCCCAAAGTGCTGGGATTACAGGCAGAAGCCACGGTGGCCAGTCCTTTTAATGTTTTTTAATGACTACATTGTATTCTCCTGTATGGGTAACACTGTAATTGACCTGCTATTTCCCAAATGTTGAACTTTGTTTTACTATGTACTTTATTTTTTATTTTTTGAGACAGAGTCTTACTCTGTTGCCCAGGCTGGAGCGCAGTGGCTTGATCTTGGCTCACTATAACCTCTATTTCCTGGGTTCAAGCGATTCTCATGCCTCAGCCTCCCCAGTAGCTGGGACCACAGGCATGTGCCACCATACCTGGTTAGGTTTTGTATTTAGTAGAGACAGGGTTTCACCATATTGGCCAGTGTGGTCTCAATCTCCCAATCTCAGGTGATCTGCCCGCCTTGGCCTCCCAAAGTGCTGGGATTACGGCATGAGCCACGGTGCCTGGCCCATTTTCTTATTTATCATATTTTCTGCAGAATTATATGGAATGCTACTTTGAAACCAACACCATCTAAATTAATTTATATTCTGCCTACTTTCCTCTCCCCTTCCCCTACAAAAAATCAGAAGAGAATAAACTACCACAAGCATTTTATGGTAAAATCCTCTTTGTGTGTAAAGCCATTTCAGAGGCAATGTTGGGTTTATGAAATGACTAATGGATAAAAGATTTGAATGTTTACAAGCCTTAAAGGTAATTTGAAGATTTGTATATCCTAATTTGTTAACCAAAGGAAAAATGAGAAATAACAGCATGATTTATTTCACAATATCATAAAACATTTTAAAAAACAAAATACTTAAGGCTAAATTGACAATTTCTAATTAAGAAGAATAACCATGATCCCTTCAAGGTGGAGTTCCTGGATTTTATGCTGTAACCCAAATAGGTACAAAGCTAATGACCATGGCAAGATGGTAAAGTAATGCACAAAACAAAGAAAACAAGGATAAGGTTCCATCGGTATTTGAGACACAGATTTCAACACAATGTCTTTAGGGTGCTTTTGAATCAAGTTCCCTGGCTTTATTTTTCAGGTTAAAATAATTTAAATTTATACTTTCTTTAACTTCCAGCCCTCGTCAACAGATAGGATCAAGAAACATGAAAAAAAAAAAGCTCATCTTCACAATAGAAGAAATGAACATTAGAACAACACATTAATATTTTGCCTATCAAGTTGGCAATGACTTTAAAAAATTATAATACTTGTTATTAGCAAGGATATGGAGTGGGGAGTACCTTTTTGGAAGATAATTTGGCAGTTTGTTTCCCTCTCAATCACTAATCTCCAATTGCACGTAAATTGCAGTCATAACACCTAACGGGAGTTATCCCAGTGCTGATCTAATCCAATGTCACTTACTTAAAACACGAGCAACAACAAATATTTTGGACCAATTCCTGTTACTTCAGATTTAAACTTCTGAAACTTTTTTCCAGTTAACAAAGAACTGGATGTCTACCGTATACAGAGGCCATAACAACTTTCTAAACTTGTAGGAAAGTTCAGGAAAAGTTCATAGGTAGGTACCCGAATGAAAAAGCACTACTGTGGAAGAAAACTATACAAAAGGCTGGGCGCGGTGGCTCACGCCTGTAATCCCAGCACTTTCTGAGGCTGAGGCGGGCGGATCATGAGGTCAGGAGATGGAGACCATTCTGGCTAACACGATAAAATCTCAGCTCTACTAAAAATACAAAAACTTAGCCGGGCGTGGTGGCGGGCACCTGTAGTCCCAGCTACTAGGGAGGCTGAGGCAGGAGAATGGCATGAACCCAGGAGGTGGACCTTGCAGTGAGCTGAGATCGCGCCACTGCACTCCAGCCTGGGCGACACAGCGAGACTCTGTCTCAAAGAAAAGAAAACTATACAAAAGTCAGTCATTCTACTTAGCAGCCTAATGACCAGCCAAAGAAAACAGGGACTTCACAAGTCAATTTCTGAAGTTATGGATATCCTATTTCACCTATTGATTTCTTTCAGATCGAATAACTCACCGTTCACTATCTAAAACATTACCTGTTGCCTAGGTAATATGACTGAACTAGACATCTTATTAATAACACTAACCTCTAACCTCTACAAATGACATTTACTTATTTCTAAGAAAATAAAGATGCCTTCCTACAAAGGAGCATGTAAAAGAATTATGTGATTTTTGCTGTTGTTGTTGTTGTTAAGCAGGCATCTAGCCTCCTTCTGACTTCCCTGTCATTAATTAGGCTAAAACATCATGGTAAGCTCTAACTTCAGCTTATCCCATAACATCCCCATCCAGACATTTACCTACTCCTAAAAATTCCAAATCTGAAAAATCTATTGTCAGTGTACTTCTTCCCATTCTTACTGCCACCATCCATTCAAACTCTCAATCCTTCATCCTGGATTCCCACTGTAACTTCCTGCCTCCTATCTCTACCATCCTACTCTATCCTGTGCACTAATGCCTCCTAAAGGTGTGTATCTTTCCTATTCAAAAATCTTCAGTGGTAGAACCTTTAATGACACAGGAAAATGCTTAAGATAGAATAAAATTTTTTAAAGCACAAGTTAAAACTACACGCACACACACAACAATCTCAGTTATATTAAAAAAGCATTTCTGGCCAGGCGCTGTGGCTCACACCTGTGGTCCCAGCTACTTGGGAAGCTGAAGTGGGGGACTTGCTTGAGCCCGAGAGGTAGAGGTTGCAGTGAGCCAAGATTGCGCCATTGCACTCCAGCCTGGGTGACAGAGGGACACCCTGTCTCAAAAAAAAAAAAAAAAAAAAAAGAAAGAAAGAAAAGAAGCATTATCTGTGTACATGGTACATGAATGGATGCAAGTATAAATATAAACACACACATAGACACATAAAGGGACTAAAAGTGGGGCCAGGAAACACATGAAATGTTAATAGTGGTTATCTCTTAGTGGTAAGGCTATGGTTTGTTGGTTTTCTTTTTTTTACTTTCTTCTTTACTTTTACAATAAAAAAATTGTAGTAAAATCTCTTTTAGTAAAGTGTCTCCCCAAACCATCTATAATGCACACAGTTAATGTGATAGCATTAGAATACTTTTTTTAATTTTTTTTATTTTTGAGACGGAGTCTCGCTCTGTCGCCCAGGCTGGAGTGCAGTGGCACGATCTGGGCTCACTGCAACCTCCACTTCCCAGGTTCACGCCATTCTCCTGCCTCAGCCTCCTGGGTAACTGAGATTACAGGCGCCCGCCACCACGCCTGGCTAATTTGTTTTTTTGTATTTTTTTAGTAGAGACGGGGTTTCACCGTGTTAGCCAGGATGGTCTTGATCTCCTGGCCTCGTGATCCGCCTGCCTCAGCCTCCCAAAGTGCTGGGATTACAGGCATGAGCCATCACGCCCGGCCAAGATACTTTTTAAAGAACATTTCACATGCTCCCTACTACCACTGAGTACAACTCCTTGATCCCTGGAGTTCAAGGCCCTCCTCAGTCTGGCCCCTCTATCTCCTTCCTAGTCTTAGTCATTATGAGACCTAATATAACCTGGGGTTTAGATTCAGCCACTCACACCATTCCTTGAACATAGCTGTTGCTTTCAAACTCTTTAACATTTGCTCTACCTAGAATATGCTCCCTTTCCATTTCTACCCATCTCTGTGTTCTTTAAAGTTTTCTTTCCTTCCTTCCTTCCTTTTTTTTTTTTTTTGAGACAGAGTCTCGCTCTGTCACCCAGGCTGGAGTGCAGTGGCATCATCTCAGTTCACTGCAACCTCTGCCTCCCGGAATCAAGTCATTCTCCCGCCTCAGCCTCCTGGGTAGCTGAGATTACAGGCGCCGGCCACCACACCTGGCTAATTTTTTTATTTTTAGTAGAGGCAGGGTTTCACCATGTTGGCCAGGCTGATCTCGAACTCCTGGCCTCAGGTGATCACCCAACTCGGCCTTCCAAAGAGCTGGGATTACAGGCGTGAGCCACTGCACCTGGCCAGGTTTATTTTCAATGTTCCAGAAATTGCACATATTACCACACTCATTTCCCTTGTCTATAACAGACATCACTAATTGCCTTCTCCTCTGAATCTAGGCTCCCTCTCAAAATCCTTGTCAATTCAATGGTTCTAGGCAGGTCTTACTATAAATGAAACTTGCCTGCCACTCCTGTAGCAATCTGATGCAATTGCCCTCTTCTCCCCTATCCATATAGTTCTTCGTACTCTCATAGAGCTTTTCTCCTCTATATTTTTTTAAGAATCATTTACCTTAGTTGTCTTATCTTCCTTTCGTACTAGATTTTAATCTACACGAGGGCAGTAATTATCTTCCTATCCCCTACATAGCCTTGTATGAAGTAGTCACCCAAACAGTTGCTAAACAGGACACTTCATTCTTTTGCTATTCAAAATGGTTAAATATTTGAAAGCTTTATTTTAAAACAATTAAATTGTTCTTGAAGGACTAATTAGTCCAAGGTAGTTTCATCAACTTTAGCTAACATTCCTGTTTAATGTAATAGAGCATTCATTGCCTGATACCACTGAAAACCAACAGAGTCCAAGGATACAAGATAAGCCACTGGTAGGGGAAATTATTGAGATAAGATAACTTAACGCATTTTTAGGGTCTTATATGCAGATATAAAAGGTATTGAATTAATCACATTTTTAGAATTTTTTTGTACTAAGTGGGAGAATCGCTTGAACCAGAGGCAGAGGTTGCAGTGAGCTGAGATTGCACTGCTACACTCCAGCCTGGGTGACAGAGTGAATGAAACCTGTCTCAAAAAAAATTGGGAAAAAAAAAAAAAAAAAAAGGAAACATGTAAAAAACGATGAAGAGATAAAAAGAAAAACAAAAGGCTAAAAATCAAAATCAACAAAGTATCAACAAAGTTAGGCAAGTAGTCTGGTAAAAATCACAAGAAGAGGCCAGGCGCTGTGGCTCATGCCTGTAATCCCAGCACTTTGGGAGGCCAAGGTGGGCGGATCACCTGACGTCAGGAGTTCAAGACCAGCCTGACCAACATAGAGAAACCCCATCTCTACCAGAAATACAAAATTAGCCTGGCATGATGGTGCATGCCTGTAATCCCAGCTACTCAGGAGGCTGAGGCAGGAGAATAGCTTGAACCCGGGAGGCGAAGGTTGCAGTGAGCCGAGATCAAGCCATTGCACTCCAGCCTGGGCAACAAGAGCGAAACTCTGTCTCAAAAAAAAAAAAAAAAATCACAATAAGTTTTTATATAGATCAAAAACCCAGTTCAAGAGATTCTGTTAGTGGTACAGAAAGACTCATGCTGCCATCTAGAGGTTAAAGGCTAGATGATTTTTCTCGACAGTCAAGGGCTATTAATTTAATTATATGAGAGGTAGAACTTAATAGGCCTAATAAGGGAAGCCAGACAAATAATTCTGATGTCAGCCCACAAAAATATATAAATAAATAAATAACACAAAGAAAAAAAAATACCCAGGGGCAGGGCATGATGGTTCACACCTATAATCCCAGCGTTTTGGGAGGCTGAGGCAGGATGAC